ACCTGTTTTTAATACAGGATATTTAGGGCGTATCAGGTGAAGTCAGACATTGTGGGCTCCTGTCTTAGCAAACCCATGTCTGCAAAACCATCATGTGTTCAGTGGAGTACGTGTTTCTTCATCATTACCTCATATGTGGAATGATGTCACTGCCTTTGATGACTGTCCTGGGTACATAACGAACTCTTGCTGTCACTACAGAGAAAACAGCAGGCGGTATCTCTAAAATATTAAGGCCTGAATCACACAAACCAATGGGGTGACCTGTGATTAAAGGCCTGAAGGTGTATTATCATTGAGAGACATGTGCAGGCACAAGCTGGTGATGAACGACTGCCCAAGACTTTATAGCCAACAACTGTATGTCTGTATGCGTGTGTGTGTGACAGCGTAGTGTATTGTATTAATAAGCCACACTGGTGGTCTTTATCTTTTTTGAATAGTGTGGGCAAAGTTGGATACAAAACAAATGTGCAGCTGCTGCTATTGGTGGCTAAATAATAACCTTATATTTATATTTTGTGAATATCAGTGAAGAAAACTGTCACCTGTGCAACAGTGTGCTTCACAAAGGTGTTGTTCTTAATAGTTTGTGGATACAAAAGCAATGAGTGGCAAGACCATTAGGATCTCAGATGCTTTACAGCAGAAAATCCTTTTTGTTAAAGCCTATGTGTTACACGTTTTTCTAATTGCACGAGTGTACATTACACCGACTGTACCATCATTCTCGATTATGTTTATATGTTTGAAAATGTGTTCTGTTGCACTGTGTTACTAAATCAAGCAGCTTCCTATGCATTCTCTCTGTGCTCAGTGATGTAGTTAATGAACAAGCCAGATGACGCATTTACTCCACGACACAAAGAATCTAAGACATTATGTTGTATTGGCTTTTTCCTGTCCTGTGCGTACAGTATGATAGACGTTGAATCATCAACCAAAGCTTTGCAGCGGCCACATCACATTCTTTGTATAAAACCGTAGTTTAGTTCAAATGTTCCTCACGTGTCTGTTTTGGACTCACAGCTTGCTTTTGATGCTGTCAGTTATACCGAACTACTCTGTTATTCTACAGAATATTATGTTTGACATTTGAATCTGGCCTTTCTCAGCGAAGATGATTAATTATTTGTCGATCACTCAACAGGAGATTAGAGCAGATACAGGCACTCAATATTTTGAGTGCAGTGCATCTCAAAATATCACAGCTGCATAATCACGACGCCACTTTTCAGCAATGTTTTTTGCTTTTATAATATCCTGTATTGCATTAAATCTTTACAAGAAATTCAAGACTTTTGTACCCTATACATACACACATTTAGGTTACACGCATTGTGGATCTTGAACCACAATGTCGCATGATGAGGTACTAAAAGTGAACATTATACATTAAACAGACCCACAATTCCTCAGCATCTGTTATAGAGAACAATTTATGGAAACATGAGCACTGTCTTGAAGTCCGGAGTACTTCTCCTGGTCGTGTAGTTTCTTTAAACCACAGTAATATTGGAGTTCAGAAAGTGTCCTCTTATTTAACAAATGACCCCAAATACATTGTAGCTCAGTGACACAGAACATGCTCAGTTGGTTGCCAAAGGTCACTACTTACTGAAAGCCGTAAAGTAATAAGACAGGCAGGTGCCAGCAGTCGTCTTTGGTCACATATCAAATCCTATTTAAAAATGATCTTTGATATTAAATATCATTCATACTGAAAATCATATTTGCTGATCTTCACTGACAAAACTCCAAAGAGTCCATATGTCTGTTTTGACAAATAACATTAATGATTAATTGATGTCCTTAATTAATCATTAATGACCTTACTGTAATTAGAAAGGCCTCCTGGGAAGTTTAGCTCAAACCCAGATTTCGTCTTGAAGCAGCTTCAGTTTAAAATCTCGGCATCAGTTTAGTAAATTCTTGAGTAGAACAATTTTCAGTGAAGAACTGCACCAGTAAGTGATACAAAGGCTGGACTATCAATGAGAGACAGATCAGGCCATACATGTTCCAGCAGGGGCAGCAGGAAAGTGTTTTTTCTATTGTCCTCTTGTCATCCTCTGATGAGCACACCACTTTCCCAGATAAGGCAATCTGTTGTAGAAAGTCTGCCCCCCTTATTTGTTACTAAGCAACACCAATATGTGTTTAAAATAAATATTAATATGTTCTTTACAAAAACAAAAAAACAAACCCTGTCATTTTCATTTTCTGGCTGAGTCACAGGGGAGGCTGACCAAGCAAACATGACCAGACTTCATAAATGAAGCTAACTATACCATTTTAATCAAAATACATTATCATCATACATTAAGTACAAGGTTAGTACACAAAGACAGCATGCTTTATT